GAGGATGTGGACGCTACTGCTGATCCACCACAGACTGACTTCCATGCAGGAGGTAGCAGCTCTGCTTTCCTGGGCCAGGATTACTTCTCTTCCCAGTTCGAGCAGCTGCGGATCCAGAACCAGCAGATCCTCGACCAGCAGATGCAGTTCCATCAGCAGTACGCGGCAGACCAAGCCGAGTACCGAAACAGGATGGATGCTTATGATGAGCGTCTGGACATGCTCCAGACTCAGTAGGGAGTGACTCTCGCCCACATCGAGCGGGAGAAGCGCCGTTCATGGCGCATGCAGGAGGTTCAGCAGCACCTGCTCCAGCTGCTCCCGGGCGAGCAGCCCGTCTGGAGGACTCCTTGGGATGACTCCCCACTTCCTCATGCCCCAGCTGACGGTGATGATGGTACTGTTGGAGCTGTTGGTGATGACGCCTTCATGGCCGACATCGACATCGACTTGGTTGATCTTGGCGACGAGTAGGCTGTACTCGTTGCCCGTCTCAGTGTGTTTTCTTTTTCGTTTTAGACTTTTGTGTGTTTGCTCCATGTGTGAGGAGCTTGAACTTAGTGTCGTTTGTTTTTGTTTTTCTGTTTCTTTTGTGGTTTGTTTTTTATGTAGCCGTCTGGGCTAACACTTATCCCTAACGCACAGTGTGCTAGTGTGTTTTTGGTGTTCGATTCGTGCAGCACTGTCCACTCTCCCGTTTGTTTCTCGCTGACTGGTCCACTTCCAGTCCCCCAGCAGTGTTTCAATCCGGTAACATCGTTCCCCTTCTCTTTCCCTCTACTCCATTGAGGGCAATGTCGTGCTTAAGTGTGGGGGGGTGCTTTGTATCGGTTGGAATATATATTTGGGTGCTTGGAGCCTAGTCCGCTGTCCGAATCTCACGATTTGAGGGCCCCAAGTACCGCTGTTTGATCATATTGGCACTGTGTTTTGATGGATGAATTGATTGGTTTTCGGATTGATGCATGACAACTTGTTTGCGACTAGGACAACCTATGATGAGGACTGAGATGTGCAGTAGAACGATGTAGGGGTTCAGTTTTTCAACTGTTTGCTTACCAACTGTGACTTGGATCGATTACTTGTTCTTGACAGTCGTTTATGCATCTAGTTCAGGGTATCAGAATGTGAGATAGAGCATATAGGTAGCCATGTGAGATTTGAGCCTGCTCGTTTCTTTCTTGTGCGATAGATACCTCTTCCATGATGTGTAGCATTCACGTTGTCACTAGCTAAGATGATGGGGGCATAGGATTAGCCCACGCCCAAAAACTGACTGTCCTGATGTGTCATATCCCCTAGTCAGCCCCTTTGAGCCGTGTGTTATCCTTTCTTTTGGTCTATAACGAAAAAATCACCCTTGTTGCATCTTTTAGAAGGTTCCACAGAGTGGTTTTTACATATTCTCTGCTGTTTCTGCTAAAGTTTATGTGAGTGTTGGAGGTAGTGCTTAAAAGTTGGGTAGGTGTTTGAAATATGTGCAGGAGTGGTGGCTCTCTTAAGAAATGGAAAGAAAATGAAAGAAAAACAAAGAAAAAAATTGAAAGCAAAAGAGAGCCACTACCAAAAGTCTGAGTAATGCCCATTAAGTAGTGTTTCTTAGCAGTCTGGCTTGGAAATGCTGATGTTTATGCCTCCTTCGCTCTTGAGATGTTGAGTATTGCAGAATAGCAGAAAGGGAATACCGGTTTGGTTGACTGTGATTGTGTGGGTTTGGAAATGTGGAACCTTTTGCTATGAATACTTCCACCACCTAAAAGGCCTTTTCCCCATGTCCAAGACCCTAGCTAGTCATTTGAACCTGTGTCTAAGACCTCCTGATTAGTTAGTGGTGACACCCCATATGTGAACTCTAGCATTTAGAGGCTGCCATCATGGTGAAGAGATGTTAGGGATTGAGAGAATAGCATGCGCATTTTTCGCATCAAATTGTCCTGACCCCACTGGTCGAGAGTGAGTGATTCATTTTCATATTCTTTATACTCTTGTACCCCAGTGAGGACCTAGATTGCTCGGTCTCTGTTCTGATGTCTTGAGTTGGATGCATGAGTTGACTGTTTTGAGTGAGTGGTTGAGTCAAGTCTAGGTTGGCTAGTGAACAGAAGGGAGACTCTTCCTTTACTCGATTTGCTGCACTCGAATGTCCTTTGTGGTGATTGTCCAGGTTGTTATTGAGGTTGTTCATGTATTGATGTTTGAAAACCAGTACGATTCACGTGTTCTGTGCATTTATGACTTGTCCTCAATGTTGGTTAATTGAAATATGTAAGCTTACCTGGTGTCTGACTTGGTTTGCTTGGGGACAAGCAAACGATTAAGTGTGGGGGAGTTTGATAGACCGTTATTTACACATGTTTTTACCCCCGTTCTTACACCGTTTGAGGTGTTGATTCTCGTGTTTTAGGCCGATTTTACGCTAGGTTGTGCTTGTTTGTGATATTTCAGGTCCTAGTACGTGAATGGAGGCTTGGGAGCGAGTCTGGGGTCGATTGGACGAAGATCGGACGAATGGCGAGGTTTCAAGGAAGCTGCACGGGCAGACCGTGGCATCACACGGTCGTGCAAAGGACAAGCCAGGCCGTGTGGGATTGTGCGAGAGCGAACACGGGCACAAGTGGTTTCCACACGGCCGTGCCAATGAGAAGTCTGGCCGTGTGATTTTTGCCGAGGCCAAACACGGGCAGCTCATGAAATCCACACGGCCGTGCAACCCAGGCCGTGTGAGAAGGCTGAAGTTCGAACTTAATGATACGCCGCGTTTCGACTCGCACGGGCAAAGTGGTGAGCCACACGGCCGTGTGGCCTGCCCGTGTGAGTCGGGAAAGTCTGGTTTTTGAGCCAATTCCGAGCCAAAAGTGGGAGTATCATATTTTCAGAGCAGAACAGAGCCCTAGAGAGAGAAAGTACGAAGAACACATCCTAGAAGCTATCTTGGAGCTGGGTTTCGTCGAATCGAGCTTGGAGATCGTCATAGGAGTGGAAATCATCATCCCGGAGCAGATTTTCCTCATCATTATGAGTATGACTACTCCGATTACTGTTTTCTCTTCTCTCTCTATGGAGTAGAACCCTTCTCTCACTTGGGTATGAAGAACCCTAGTTCCTTGTGTTAGGGATTTGATTGTAATGACTTGGGATGATATTACTGTTTGATTTTAATCGAATGATGCATGTTTATTGAATTGATTGGAGTCTGATCAGCTTTTCTCGATTTCTGCTGCAACCTGAGATAGATAGAATCTGATTAGGTTGTTAGAGCCTCTTCATTCGATAGTAGGAGATTGGCTATACGAGAGTTAGCCAGTTTACTGCTTTGTAATGGAATTCAATTCCAGTAGTGGAGTTCTGTGTTCATAGCCTCTGCTTTCTATCCCGGTGAAGACTAGTCGTCTGCCGGGTAGCTAGACTGAGAGGGCTTGGTCAGCTTAAGAGATTCCAAGCTACTGTCGGAACTTCCGCAGTCTAATCAACAGTGAATCAACCCAGGGGAATTACAATTGAACCTAACTAAGGGGCTAGGGGGACTCAATCCCGAGTGACTCTTTCCTGACTTTGAAAACCGAACAATTTACTGCTTTCTTACTGCTTTTGCTTTAAACAACAATCACTCGAATTAGTTTGCTAGATAATAGACAATCACGGAGTAAGCAGTAGATCTAGACCCTGGGTTAATAATATAACTTGCCTGTTACTGCATTCCCGGACTGCGATTACACTTGGTTGCAGTTTGGTGTTGTGTCTTGGCGTGTCACTTCTTCTGCCAGAACGAGTTTCATGGAGGTGAGGCAGTTCGCCAGTTTCTTGGTCGTTAGGTGGAACAACATATTTTGCTTCCAGCGGTGTAAATTGGCTCCTTGAAAACAAACTGGGAATAATAGTATGACTTCTTTAATTAATCACGGTGATCAACCAGGCTAGCCCAAGATTAAAGTACAACTGATTGATTTGGGGCAGGTGAACTTCGCTCAAGCACTTAGGAGCTCACAATTTAGATTATATGAGTAAGTCTTTATTGTATAGCTTTTCTAGCTTCCTTTGATATGTAGTTGCTCGAGACTGCTCAAATACTTATGTAGGCCGCAAGGCCGACCAATGGGGTGTGTCAGGAGACCCTCTGACACATAGCCTCTAAGTATCTGGATCCACCTTCAATCAATTCGACGCCAACAGGTCTTTGTCCCTAGCAACTTTATACCTATGGGAACACCAACGGACCTCGCTTGAATTCGAACATGGGATCTGCAACTCTCAAATCTTCACTGTCGCGATAGCTTTACCATTAGACTATCTTTCTTCTGGTCTCTTTAATGGATTAAGGTTGATGATGATTGAAACTGATTTCTCACAAATACAAAAAATTTGAGTTAATTATTAATCATATTTGAAATTAATAGGGTTAATATTTTCGTATGGCCTGAACTTTGACCAAAATAAACATCCTGTCCAGTATTTTCGATCTATAACATCCTGGCCCGAACTATACACCAAAATAAACAATTTGGCCAGATCCGACTTTTGACCATTAACTTGGACGGGCAAACGCGTTGATCGTTACTCAACGCGCCATGTCACTGCCAAGTCAGCATAAATTATTTAAAATAATTCACAATTTCCACACATTCCCTAATTTTAAATTATTATAATTTAAAAAAATCATCTAATACCTTAGTTAAACCAAAAATAAAAACGAAAAAATTAAATATTTATCAGATCTTCTGATTTGGCAGTGACGTGGCAGTGACGTGGCACGTTGACTGTTAGTCAACGCGTTTGACCGTCCAAGTTAACGGTCAAACATCGGGTTTGGCCAAATTGTTTATTTTGGTGTATAGTTCGGGCCAGGATGTTATAGATCGAAAAGATTGGCCAGGATATTTATTTTGGTCAAAGTTCAGGTCATACGAAAATATTAACCCAAATTAATAATAAAAAAATGATGCTATACTCATTTTTCATGTTATTATATTTCAAATAATTGGACCACCACATCTCAATCCCGCACTGAAAAAATAAAATCACACCTAGGGTCTTAGATGCATTAACTAAAAAACGAACGAAAGGAGAGAAGACGACAATTAGCTTGTGGAGTGAGCCTTCCTGCTAAAAACAGCTAAAGCGGAAACACAGGCACTCCAGCCCTCTCTCCAGTCTCCACCTAATTATCAACAGTCGCAGTAAATGGTTTGGAGTCTGGACTGAACCTCCAAGTCCTGCTTCGTTCACCAACCAACGAACCCTGCTCCATCTGCCCCCACACCGTCACACTTGTCCCGCTGCCGGAAATTCCACACATTCTTTCATTCTGATATCTGTATCTACTCATTTATTTAATCATTCAGCAACAGCCAGATTAAGACGTGCTTGATTTCTTATGCGTTAACTTTGATTGACGGGGAAGATTTTTTTTTTGCGCAAATTTTTGTTGCAAAGTGTAGCAGTAGATAGGTGTAGGTTAGTGGTCCTGCTGGCGGGGGATAGGGGGAGAAAAAGGGAGGCCAGGGCAGGGCCATGGCGGTTCCACTTCACTTTTAAAGGAAGGATTTTCCCCTCAATTCATTGTGTAACTGACGCCTCCATTCCACAGTTTCTTTCTGATTCTTCCCATGCCCTCCGCCGATAGCGAAAGCGTTAGACCAGAGAGACAGGTGTTTCTTGTTCACCTGTTCACGTCGCCGATTTGGTTGGCAGACTGAGTGATCTGTAAGCAAAAGACCGCTCCTACCGATCACCCTCAAAATCCACCCACAAAAAGATCGAAAGCGAAACCCTGCTCTGTTTTGGCGCAATTGCAAGGATTCTCCCTTTCCTTTCCTTTCCTTTCCTTCCTCCTCCTTTTGTTGTTGTTTCCTGAGAGGGGAGAGTGGAAACTGAAGAGGGTTCTGCCACAAATCTTGGATGAACAAGTATGCAATGAGCGGCGGCGGAATCGTCGGACATGGAGCGCCGGAGCTGGCTATGGAGAAGGAAGTCCTCCCCAACTCTGCCCCCAGATTTCTCTGACGCCGGCTCGCTTGGGTCACTCTCTGAACGCTTCTCCGATGATCATCATCAGGTAACCACCACCACCACAAACCCTCTTTTCATCTTTTCCATTTTTATCCATTGCTTTGTCTCAATCCTTCCTTTTTCTCTGTTTTGTCCTCTTTCCTGCTCTGTTCTGGTTGGCGATTTTTGGGATGATAATAATAATGGCTGAATTGCTAAATTCGGGAAACGCCAAACAACCACCCACCAAACAAACAGGCATCGTATTCGTCAACTCCAACTCGAACACCCACTCGTCGTTCTTCTGCTGCTGCTGCTGCTCCTGCTCAATCGGACGTTCCTGATGAACAAGTGGATAATTATGATGGCGATCTCAAGGCGCTCAGAGACAAACTTTCTGCTGCTCTTCTCAACCTTAGGGCCAAGGACGATTTGGTCACTCAGCATGCCAAAGTCGCTGAAGAGGCTGTCTCTGGTCTGTCATTTCTTCCTTCTCCCCCATTCTTCAATTTGATTTTGATCCCTAGTTTTATGTACACAGATTGCATTCAATTTCCTTACCTTTGGCTTTGATGGGTTTTTCATTCCATTTTCTTAAATTTCTTCGGTGGTTAAGCATCTGCAGATTTAATACATGTGCATATCTGCATCATGTTTCCATTAACAACTTTTTCCACCAGAAAAATGAACATTACATATTGATTTGCATAATAAATGGTTTGTTGTCAGTAAACAAATAATTTAATTGCATGAAGGATGTGATTTGTGTAAGAGAGGCTGCTTATTGGGTTGATTTTGGTTGCTTGGCATATCATGCTTCAATTTGTTGGAACATGTTCTTCATTAAATTTCACTCATATGGTATTTACTTATTTACTTCCCATGTGTTTGCATCCTGTTTTATTAACCAAAAAGCTAATCTTTTTTCCTGAAGGTTGGGAGAAAGCTGAGAAGGAAGTGGTTGCTCTAAAGCAGCAATTGGAGAATGCAACTAAGAAGAACTCTGGACTCGAGGATCGAGTTGGTCATCTCGATGCAGCGCTCAAAGAATGCATGAGGCAGCTGCGTTTAGCAAGAGAGGATCAAGAACGAAGGATATCTGAGGCTCTTGCAAACACCACTCGTGAATGGGAGTCCACGAAGTCCGAGCTCGATTCCCAGATCTCTCAACTGCAACATGAACTTCAGGCTGCCAAAGGTGAGGCAGCTGCTACAACATCGTCACTCGATTCCGAGTTTCGAGCTAAGATGGAGAGTTTAGAGAAAGAGAACTCTTCCCTCAAGCTGACACTTCTCTCTCGAGCTGAGGAATTGGAGATGAAGATTATGGAAAGAGACCTCAGCTGTCAAGCTGCTGAAACTGCTAGCAAACAGCAATTGGATGCCATTAAGAAAGTAGCTAGGCTTGAAGCTGAGTGCCGCAGGATGAAGGCTATGGCGGCTCGAAAGGCTTCTCCTTCTTCGCTTGCTGCTGTCCATAACAGATCCTTTACTGCTTCATCAATCTATGTCGAGTCCTTCACCGAAGACAGCCAGTCGGATAGTGGTGAGAGGCTACTAGAGATGGTGGAGTGTGACTCACAGAAAGTGAATGGCTTGGAAATGAATGAACTCGAGCCAAGTTCTTCAGGTTCATGGGAGCCTGATGGTTTCAAAAATCGGAAAAGTACTGGAAGAAACCAGCTCATGCTGTTGCCTTCTCCAGAGATCAATCTCATGGATGATTTTCTGGAGATGGAAAGACTTGCTGCTTTGGCTGACACAGATAGTGGTGGAAGCTCTTTTCATGAGGCAGGCGGACCAGTATCCGAACGAAGCAACAGCATTGAGAGTCAATGGAGAGCTGAACATGCGGCCGTGATTAATCAGAAGACTACTGATCTAGAGGAGAAGTTGGAAAAGGTTGAAGGCGAAAAGGTCAAGTTGGAGTCTGCTTTGAATGAGTGCCAGAGTCAGCTAGGCATCTTAAAAACTCAGCTGAAGGAAGCGAATGAGAAGTTCTCGGTACTTCAAGCTGAGTTAGCTCATTCGAATGAGACAACAAAAGCCAGAGAAGAGGAGCTTAAGGGTGTTCTGGTGATGAAAGAAGTTGCAGAGTCACAGCTTAGAATTTCTGAGGAGGAGATTGGAACCTTGCTTTCTAAAGTTGATTCATTAACAGCAGAGGTTGAAAAGGAGCATGCTTCAGCAGCTGACAATGAAAAGAAGTGTCTTGACTTGGAGAACAAGCTTCACGAAATGAGACTTGAATCTGAACTCCTTCAAAAAGCTGAACTCAAGCGAATTACAAGCTTTAATGAAGAGCTGAAGGTAAAACAGGTTAGTGTTTCACTTATCTTCACTCCTAGCACATTTTCGTGCAGTCAAACTAATAGTTATGTCGTCTGTTTCACAACAAACCTTCCAATGCATTAACCTACTGGGTCATCATCATCTACACTTTTTCACATGCATAAATTCTGATTTTTGTGGAACTAGATAAGCAATCATGGAAAGAACAGAGCCTCTGCTTTTCCACTCACAAAATATGTCGTCTAGTCCTTTTTTGGATGATTGCCAGCAAGACTGCGGAAGCAGGGCTTCATAGGTTGGTCCATTTGGGCCAACTCTTAGCTGATACATATCTTGTTCTATCCGACCCATATTGTCTTATAGCAATCAGTAAATCACGTGAAGGCTGGATCACTTCACCTAGAACCTCAATCAACTTGGTTCCATATACTCTGCGAATAATTGTTAGCCCACCACTCTACTTGTCCTGGAGTCACGCAGAATTTGCTTCAATACTGCATTCCCAGCTTTAGCTTAGATGGTTTTCTGGTACGATATATAATATATTTATGCTATAGAAACTGATGTTGTTTGGTGTTGGATGGCAGGAGAGAGAGCTAGCAGCTGCAGCTGCCAAGTTTGCAGAGTGCAAGAAGACAATCTCATCTCTGGGTCTTCAGCTAAAGTCTCTTGCAACTATGGAAGAAGACTTGCTAGTTATGTAGTGCAGTGCAGGATTCCAAAATGTCGAATAACGAAACAGAGATTGTTTTGGTTCCGGGGGTAGTGAAAATTCGAGGGTGAGATGGAGATTTGCATGAGGGAGAGATGGAAATTGCATGGCATTGGATATTTGCAGCTTGGTATTGCACATACAGAGCTAATAGGTTAGCATGTAAATGTTGGAATTTGATTTGGTGGGTATGACAATAATAAAACGAAAGCGAGAAAGCAAAAAAATGGGATGGCATTTTGGCATTGCCACCAGTTCTGGGTTTTCTTCTTTCCCATGTGTAAAGTCATCTTCCCCTTCATAAAGAATTACTGCAGTAATACCTTCTGCTGCTAATGGTGATGGTTTCAGACTTTCAGTTAGTATATGAAGATATGGGAAACTGGAAAAAAGAAGTCGTGTAAAGTTGTTGGATGTCGGGATTGATGTGACTGTTATCCAACAACAGGTGAAGAAATGGAAGTGGGAGGAGTGGGCAGAGAACATGAGTTGGAGGTCACTGAGGAGGTTAGAAAGCAAAGAGAAAGAGAGAGCATGTGAATGTCAATGGTTAGGCGACCTATGACCTACACAAGTACACAGGCGAGGCGACAACAGAAGATAAAAGCAGAGAACATTCACATGATGAGCAGATGCAGATGGGCACTAGCTAATATGATCATCCAACCAACCGTTGTGCTTCCATATGCAGCAAAAAAAGCAGAAGAAATGGGTACATTTCCAGTACTTTACCATTCCAAACTCTGACCCTACTGCATGCCAAATAATGCACAGCATATGATCATATCTCAATAATTGAGAATCAAAGGAGCAAAAAACATGAGCTTTATTTTTTCTTCTTCTTTCCTTGCTAATTTGGTGTTGTAGCTCAAGGAAGCGCGACGATACATTGAACAAGGTTTCATTTTCGAACAATCCGCCGCGAGTTTTATTTGAGAAAGAAAGAAAAATCTATCAACAGAGACAGACCACTCACTGCTGCAGTACTACTCTGTATGTATTACTACCGATTAAGCTCTGCTTTTCACTTTTTATTATTTTCTCGTTTGTGCATGATTGTCGCTGAACTACTACAACTAATGAAATGATGTTCTAGCAGGCCATTTCCTCTTATTTCATCCCAACCCAACTGCATCTGCATGCGCTTATATATTACTTCTCTCCATTGTTTCCCCCCCCTTTGTTCTTGATGGTATAGCTATTTGTGGAGCAAATCGTAGAAAGCCTCTGGCTTTTTGTATCCTTGGTTGCACAGGCCCTGTGATGAAAGAATAAAACGACACCATCAGCTGTGTAATCAACCAATTCTGAGAAACAGGAATGTGAGAGCGTGATGAGAGCAGACCTGCATGGCGAATGCAACGTGGAGGAGAGTTGGTTCGGACCACGGCTGGCCTATGAACTGAAGCCCAATTGGCAGCCCTTTCTTATCATATCCCACCTGCAACCGCACCACGCCATGCAACAACACGAATCAATGGATCAAATCGATGAGAAGATATACTTGGCAATTAACATGAGGAGTCCGACTTACAGGGACAGTAATTGCAGGTAATCCCAAGAAATTCCCAGCTATTTGGTACCGAACAAGCGCAGCTCCATTGACGTAATCTAGTTCGCCAGTCTTGAGGCAGTCGTTCAATATTGGATAAGCTGTCACTCTATACAAATACAACCACCCCCAATGCAGTCAAATGCACGCGTTTCTACGTAGAAACGTTTTGGTAATCTAGAAGTGTAAAATTCGTAAGTTTTTTTAAGCGGAGTTTTTAACTAAATAAGTTGTAAAAACGGAGATTTTGTGCAGAAGTGCTTTAGTGACGTAGAAAACGTAAAATCGTAATTTTTTTTTTAAGTTTCAAAGCGCGATTTTGACTACATTGCAACCACCCATATCTAATTCTACCATCATTAGTCACCAACTTAAAGCCTACAGTTTCCAGATGAAAACCAACATTAGATTAGATGAAGAAGAATGAAGAAGAAGAAGAATACCCTGTGGTTGGTGAAACGATCACATCCGCCATTGCAAACACCTTCCTGTGGATCTCTAGTTGCCGGTTCCTGCACCATGCATTACTTGATTAGATGGAAAATAATGTAACTAATTGAGCTTATAGTTAATGATGACTATAATTCAAATACCTTAGCCTTTGAGCCTGGATGTACTCTTTACTGCTGAAAGCGCCATAAACAGAGAGGCCCACCCTCACATCCCACCCCATTTCCCCCACATTCCTGCACCATTCATATACACGAATGATTTTTAATTTGCTTCATTGAATTTGGAATTAGGGCACATTAATTCATATGCATGTAATTAAGTCAAGCAAAGTACATAATTAATTACTTGGAGTTGTGTAGGTGAGGGCCAAGCGCGGTAGTACATTCCGATCCTATCGTTACGTAATGTGCCAACCGCATCGTTTCTATCTCCGGTATGACCACCTCCACCGTCTTCCACCCGTATTTCTGCGACAGGAGATCCAGCGCGTGGGAACAGCACTCCCTGATCTCCTCCGTGCAATCATTGAACCACTGTTCCAATATTCATTAATCCAACGAAACATTAAAGAGCACAAGTCATTGTTAGTTACAAAGTCGTCCCGAAAAACAAAATTACGTACACGTCGGATACTGACCTCTTTATATCTTGCCAGTTTAATATTCGTGACTGAACTTGTTGATTCCAGCAGTGGAAGATACAGTTTTGGCTGAGAGAGTGGGGAGAGAGATTCCAATTCCCATGCAATATGCATGCACCACAAGAAAGAAATCATAGCTAGTTACGTACGGTTTAATTTAAAATTTTTTTTTGGAAAGATTCAGTTTCGTGCCCTAGACTTCTTCCAGGTAGGGGGTGGGGCATTCGGTCGGTTTAAACCGAATTATAATTCGGTTCGGTTTTTCACACAAAACCGGATTTGTTAAACTACTTGTATCTTCTCACTTTTAAATTATTTTTACCCCTAGTATAAACAATAAATATGTGATTATATGCATCATTAATGATAAAATCAAACTTTTCAACACATATGTCATAAAACATTTCAAATATTTAAGTCTAAAAACAACTACAAACATAAAAATCCACCATTTGGAGCTTGCAATTATAGTATTTCGGTTTTTCGGTCGGAAATTCGGTTCGGTTGAGAGAATCCTGATTTCCGGACTATCCATATTTTCCTTCCGAATTCCGAACCGAATAACATTAATTCGGTTTCGGTTTGGTTTAATTCGATTTCGGTTCGGGTTTACCGAACCGGTTGCCCACCCCTACTTCCAGGTGCAGTCCGTGTGGGCCTGGCCATCAAAAACCTTTTTACTTTTTCATAAACCGAGGGCGGCCTGGGTCTGGATATGAGTTTTGATTGGGCCCGTAGCGGCAAGACAAGAACGCAGTCCAGTAGATCGATAGACTTCGTACCTTTGTAGGATTCGGCTTCTTGTTATTCTTCATCTCCGGATCCGATGTTTTTTGTGAGTCTCCGCTAATGGCTGCGTAGCTGCATGCAATGCAATATTGTCAATTGTCATCCAGCAAACTAAACAAGCTTTTAACAAATGAAAAAAAAACCAAATATATTTGTATATAAATAATTAATCAAATAAATAGTAGAGTCAAAGAATATGTATGTATGTATGTAGATAGAGGGCTCACACAATCAATGAATCCTCGACTGTGCCTGCCAATACACCCACCATCCCTACTGTCCAGTTTAAAGGAAGAACACTGCATACAGGATAATACCCAAAACCCCACATTATCCAAAATTAAAAAAGGAACAATCGTCGAACTTAATTATAACAAAGGAATAATCGTCAAACTTGGTCCGATAATAATGTATGAAAATGTGCGCATTTATATTCAGACACGAGAGTTGATATATACCCGGAGTGTGGTACGCGGCCAAAGGTGGGTTTGAAACCAACAACGCCACACAGTGCTGCAGGCATTCTAACAGATCCTACATCAATTACACATACATATATATCAACATTATCGATCCCACAAACGTACGTTTAGGAATGGCAATGGAGCAGTTCCGGAGCGGGTATCTCGATACCCATATCCGCCCCATGGCAGGTCGGGCCCAGGTCAGGTAATTTATTACGGGGCGCGGGTTGGGGCAGGTCGACCCATTGGGTATGTAATTTATGTGAAAACATTAGAAATATTCGTTCTTTTCATTGAAAGATCAAGAAAGAAACCATAATATGATAAAATGTAGTTAAATTATTGAAGAAATTGAGGTTTTCACTTATTTACAACTTTATTATAGCTAAAATATAATGTAATATTAGGAAAATTTTAAGTAATTTGACTAAGATTATATGTAATTTAGGCAAAAATGGGTCGAGAATGGGGCGGGTCAGGGCAGGTCTGGTCGATGAGAGGTACCCATGCCCGCCCAGCCTACGGGCAGATTTGACCCGCCCCAAAACAGGTCGAGTAAATCGGGTCAGGTCAAAATTGCCATCTCTACGTACGTTAATTAATATATAATCAATTAATTAAGTTAATTAATAATGTAAAAATGAGGTAACGTAAAAGTATACCTCCACCATCAACACCTAGGGCGGCAGGGCAAAGCCCAGCAGCCACCACTGCCGCCGATCCGCTGGATGAACCTCCCGCAATCTTCCCTACATCGAACGGATTTCTAGTAGCCCTGCAATTTATTCATTATCATTAATTAATTAATTACCTCATAACGTACAACTCAACAGAAACAAATACATCGAGCAGTTCTACTATGCTATATAGCAACTCAACAGAAACAAATACATCGAGCACTTCTACTATGCTATATAGCATTGGTGTTTAATGTACAACTTGAAATTGTACCATAACATAAAATGTATAAGTTTAGGTTGTACCATAAAGAAATTTGTATCATTATGTTATGGTACAACTCCAAAGTTGTACCATCACATAAAAGTACAAGTTCAAGTTGTACCATAAAAGAATTTGTACAAAAAGTATAGGTACAATCTGAAGTTGTACCATAACGTTAAATGTACAATTTCAAGTTGTACCATAAAGGCAAAAACCTATAGCACCAATCCTATATAGCATTGTAAAATTCCTCCAAATACATCTAACGATCGATCTAAGCCATAGTAACTTCAGATATATGATAATATTAGGACAATATGTATAATCTGTACGTACCCATAATGGGGATTAATGCCACTGGTCCCAGCTCCAAGCTCGTGCATATTAGTTTTGCCAACGAGAATCGCCCCACATTGCCTCAGCCTCGCTACACATTCCGCGTCACCTTCACTTGCTCTTGCTTTGTGTAGCCACTTTGTTCCTCCTATTTCGTTATAATGCATCATAGTTTGTCAATTACATTAATCACCATGACTGATCATATATATATATATATATATATATATATATATATATATATATACCGGTAATTAATTATTTACCAGTTGTGGGATAGGGAGCACAGTCAATCTCATCTTTGACGGCAATGGGGACACCATCGAGAACTGATATTGCCTCTCCTATCAAACAAAACAAAAAAAACACAATTAATTTTTTTTTTTTTTTGAAGAATTCATGTTGGCAACCTCGTTATCATAATATGTACAAATTTAAGTCGGTGATAAATCGTACGTACCTCTTTCATATCGAAGAGTTGATTCCGAGGCTTGTTTGAGGATGTCTTTTGGGCAGTGATTGATAAAGAATCCCATATCCCATGGCGCACTTGAACTTTCTTCAATGGCTGCTATTAACCTTTCTGCCACCTGTACACGCATTTCTCACAACAATTAATCGCCACCCGTCCACAAAAAAAAAAACTATATCAAATTCTTAGACGTACTTTTATGTATTTCGACGAATCAAAATTTTTATATTCTTTTATTATTAAACTGATCTTATGGATTTGGGTATAAAATTAGGGATTGCACTCAATTATCTTAGTGGGTAGGCCTTATACGTAAGGATGAATTAATTACCATGGTGGGAGTAATCTGTCGAGTAGTATAGGCGTTATAGTAGTCCATGACGGTCCACCGATGGAAACCAGGTGAAGTAGTAGTGGAGCAATTTGGTGATGACAAAGGCAGCAGGCAATTCTCAACTGCTTGTTGGACCTGACTTGCTGGATCTGATGATGGCTCAATTTGCTTCACTTCTTGCTCCTCCAACTCTGAGTAAACATATATTAAGACTTGGAAGATTAAGAGATATACGTGTCAAGAATCAGTTGATCTCAATAATTTGAGTTGTTGGGAAAGATTCAATCGTGGATCATATACCATTCACTAACACACTCCCTCAAACGAAAGCCAGTCACCTCATAAGGGCTTTCGTTTGCACAGGTCTGATATACGATACCATGTGCTTCACAAACGGGGGTCACCAGGATTCGAACACAAGACATTTCGGTCACATAAGGCTCTGATACCATGTCAAGAACCAGTTGATCCCAATAACTCGAGTTGTTGGGAAAGATTCAATCGTGAATCATATACCACATTCACTAACAATACGGTAATTCATTAAGCACTAGATATCAGGAGGTGATAAAAGGGAAAGGAAGGTAACCTTGAAAAGGATGCAGAGGGACATAAAGAGGCGACTCTTCCAGCTCTGCATTTGTCACAAGCTAACCACGGAATGCGATAAAGTAAGTGTTAGTTTAACGTACATAGATACATACACGTCCACATGATAGCATGTTGTCTTGCACAAAATGTACGTATCTAAATATATACATGTGTGCATATTTATTAGTGTTTTGGATAATTTGATGATGTGCACATCTGTCACAATATCGATTTAAGACTAAGGAGAAATGAGTTACATGCAATATTGAACAAGTCATGTTGAGATGTGAGGTATTTGTTTTGGACATGGATGAATTTAATAACTAACAATTCTAGATTTTCTATTTTATTAATTTGGATTCATAATAATTTATATATAACAGAGAGAGACATGATGGAAGCAGCTTCCGGAGAGAGTTGATGGAGGATGTGAGGCCTAATTTGGCTCTTTGCCAATTGTTGATTTTCATTATGAAGGTCTCATGTTTAAATTTCAAGGTGAGCCTCCCTTCCTCACAAATATGAAATATCTCTTCAATACCATGTAAAAGTTTGGTGCTTTATATCTTTTTTTACTAGTCTCTAGAGATATATGGATTAATTGCAGGGATGAGATCGGATCGAGTTGGAAACAGGCAGTGAATATTCACATTTCTATATAAAATAGTTTGGGATTTACTCATTTATATACTAACACGAGAATCATATAGAATGTCAAAATCATACTCATATTCTCGGATTTTTGGTATTTACGGTTATTCATGGATAATGATTTTTGTTTATAACTTCAACCAACATGTTAATAGTTACATGTATACATTATATAAGCTAAGTGAAAAAAATAATAAAAAAATACTAGAACATAAAGGAATTTAAAACAACAAAATTCATGAAAATATTATTGTGTATATTAAATATAAAATATGTTGAGAAAAATAATGATCATTCTAAAGAAAACACATATACATGTGTATAATATAATTGGACAGATTCGGTTGGATTGTGTGGAAATTATGCTCACTCGTCACCTGCAATATTCGACTTCGAATTTTATCCATACTCATAAAAAATCATTTGAATTCAAATTTTGCTCTATTAGATTAGACCCGATTCGACCAGGTACATCATGTTATTTTTGTCATCGCTAGTAAATGTGAAAAACTCCAAGTACCGTTTACATTAATGTGGTTGGTCTAAATATTTTCTTTCTTTCTCGGGTACATATAGGGTTTGGGTGTAAATAATTTTGGCCAACTTTTTAGTCTGCAAAATTATGGTACTATGGCTAATAAGTTTCTTTGTGGTGAAAGATTTGGACACACATGCAAGAGGAAAGCCACTATTATTGCATAAAATTATAATAATTCATAAATTTGTATGAATGAGTCTAACCGTAATGTTGTCCATATCTATTGTTAGAGGTTAGAGAGCGACTACTACCTAAATGCATACAAATGTTAATAAATAGCGCAATTAATGGAGACTCCCAACAACAGTGACACACTGCTAAACCACTTCACATTCCATCCCCCAAAATCACAGAATTGGATCATTTTGGCAAATTTCTAGTCAGCCTCCAAAATACATCTCTTCTTCAATATATCGTTTTTCACTCTTATCTTAATGTTTTCTATGAATATCATGTATTTTCGCATCTCATGTATTAATCTCACGATACATGTTCGTTTATACCGTCAGTATTCAACAATTCATCTACTTAAACGAGATCTAATATCACAATATGTTGCAGACGAAACGCTATAGTTTTTAACATTATATGAATTCTTGTTATCACACTTCGAAAATATGAGCCATCATCGGTGACGTAGCAAAAGATTGAGGACCCCACTTGGGAACACAACAGGGCAAAAGATTCATTAGATACATAAGATTTATTAACGATCCTTCAAATTTATGACCCATATACTCTCGACATTGCTAGTTATACGTAACGATCCCAATCAACTCAAAAAGTCCATCAAATGCATAGGTTTCAGAATCAATCATTTTTAAAGGACTTCCGTCATCAACTCATACTCTGGCCACGCCACTAACTATCATCCATTCTCATTAAATTGTATGCTTTACCAACTAACCCATATTAATTAGAAGGAGAAAAAAAAAGTTTAATTAAATTTGGGGGGTTAGGTGCGTGTACCTTGTGGATGAGATTGTTTCTCTTGAGGAGGTAAAGCAGCAAGGCGCCCAAAATCCGTGACTCCAGAAACCACGCGAACACTTTCACCACCACTCCGCCCATCCGCGGAGCTGTAATTCATTCATTCATTCATTAATCATTCAAAATAATCACAATTAATTTATCACTATATAGCTACCTAATTACGGATGTAAAATTACTAAGACAAAAGGAGGCGTGCTTGCCTAATCGTGATTAGTAAAAGAAAAGAGGAGAACTAAGCAGAGCAGCAGACCTTTGACATCGGGATGGAGATAAGATTGATCTTCTTCTTCGCCGTCGTCGTCGGAATTCGCCGGAAGACGACGACGAGCCACGTCGATGCTACTCGCCGCCTTGTAAACCACTCGGTTCGCTTTGAACGCTCCTCCCATGAGGACAATTAGGCGTAATCAGCAGTACTTGATCTCTGTTGTTTTTGCGCGGTACAGATGATTAGGCTGATAATTAAGGAAGTACTGGATCAGGCAGGCCAGAAGAAGAAGGAGAATGAAGGAGGAGAAGGAGAAGGGAGGGAGAAAACGAAAGGAAAAGGTTAATTAAAGCAGGTTGTAACGTACGTCATGCAGCCAAACCAAATGAAATGGGGGATCTGGTCAGTAAATTTAGATAGACTGGGCGCTCTGCACGTATTTAATGATGGATCTAGCCAAAACCCCACTGGCCAACGCCAAAACATAACTCCACATCCTATGACCAACCTAGCTAGCCAACGCCAAGGAAAATGTTTGACATGGATGGATTGGCTTATGGAATACCCAATTATTCGGCGGAGCCTACCATGCATGTGATCCAATTGACTAAGTTTGCAACTTTGCATTGTATGAATTGTTTGCTTTATTACGTTCTGGATCATATGCACCTCGAAGAGCTGAACTACCGCGCTTTGACGAGGAAAATACTAGATTGTTGATTTGTATGGCTTGTTTAATTTTAGTCCGGAGACACACTCTTTTGACAAAGAGAAGCTTATAGGCTCTTGCCCTTGATTTTATTCTGACTAGTATTTTGAGAATTATTATCATAATCTCCCGAATGATGAGTTATTTTTTCGATTAAAAAGAAATTGATGAATTAATTTAGTTAATGGTGAAAGGAAAAGTGAATCCATCATATACATTGATCTAATTTGTTTCTCAAACTTGTATTGATTTTAGCAGTTGCAACTTGTAACTGAGCTTTTTCAACTTTGGGCTACATGGGAAAAAAATTTCGAAATCGTGTAAGCGATTAGTTCATCAATGACTTCAAGTGGGATATATTGAAAGATATTTATTAAGCATTATAGACACCGAGTATATTTAAAAAGAAATAAAAATAGAATATGAAAACACGTGATTTTTTCTTGTAACTTGTACTAGTCGGATGTTTTGTTGTAACTTGTCATAAATCATTGTTTCATGGATAAGGACAACCATTTCACGAAACAATGCAGGAATTTGACCCTATAAATATATATATGTGGGGCGGATTATGCAACATACCATCAAAATCGTTCTTCTTTCTTCCTAAAAACTTCTAAATTTGTTTTAGCGATCTTAAGTCTATAACCTAAAATAGTGATAGTTTTGTTCTCTGAATTTTTTTTTTTTTTAATCAAGACTTCTATAAAGAGTGAAAATATTATTTAGGAAAGTGAACATGGTCCACGATTCCATCTCAAACCTAGTCTTCTAGTTTCGCGCTATCATTCCAACACGAATTTTCACCCTAAGCATTGTACCACTAGAAAGAATGCAGCTGTCTCATAGCTTAACTTCATTGGCATTGGCTGGCTTTGAATATAGTAGTAGTACAACAATATTATTGGTAGCTAGGTTATTAATTGGCCGCCGAAAGAAAGCATACGCATATATAAATGCGATCGAACGGGAGATCCATTTTGTTCTCATCGTGTAGTTCATTTATTTATCGAGGTGGGGATCGAATATAAACTTCGGCGATTTCTCTTGCGAACTGGCCGCTGGCATTCGATTCCTTTCCAAAATGATAGCTTCCAGGTATCCAGGAGCACTGGAATGACCAAAAGTCGGTAATACCAAAAATTTGGGTATTTTTGATGAAAACGATGGCGGCTATATGGAATATTTTGATGCCTGCCGGAATGGATAATATGAACTAATCAGGTTGTTGAATAAAAGAGAGTGATCTTGTATTGGAGATGTGTGCCAACATGTAATCGAAGACACGGGGTCATATTATGAATTTCAATATATTACTAGGGAGGTGCTGGCCGCGCTCCGCAGCGGCTTTGAGGTTGGTTTCTGTTCTGAGTTGCTCTTTGCAAGCCCGTCTCCGTGAAATAAATAGGTCAAACTCAAACTGTACCTCAACCTCAAGCTCAAATCGCATCTCAAGCTCTAATGTTTATCTTTATATAATTTGAGGATAACTAATAAAAGTAGGGTTAGTAAATGGTATATGATCTATAATTAAATTTCTTTCAAATTATTTGAATCAACTGGTTCTTGACATTGATATAATAATATCATCACAAGCTAATTACTAACACCACATTCAAAAACCTTGATACAACTTACAATAAGACATAATGAGTACAAAGACAAGATACAACCAGAAGTGTTATACATAACCTGAATCCTTTTACAAATTGTAAAAAAAAACAAATTATTTAGCTCTTGGATTAATATCAAGGCCAAATATGACAAAGTCAGAGGAGATAAGTCTGTATGGTCAAACCATTCACACTCAATCCTGATACCAAATCACATATTTATGGGAAGCACACTAAGAAACCCTAATACTACTCGACCCTTATTTGGCCACCTAATAATAGTTATTCCCTTCCTTCCACTCGACGTTCCTTTCAATTAAGGTCTCATCATTCGATTCGGTCCATAACTTAATTGAATTTATTTAGGATCGGACAAAAAACAAACGATCAAAACCGGACCAAAAGCATGTTCGTGTTAGGTTCATTTGGTTCGATTCGGTTCAGTACCAATCCAATTTCGATCCATTTCTTCTTCATAAATTAAATAATATATTAATAAAAAAGAAATATATTCAATCTAATATGATTCGATCCAAAGATCGATTCAATACAATTTGGTCTATTGGGAATCGGGTCATTGCTCACCCCTACTTTCAATTATCCCTAATTATTATATTATAGTTAGAAGGATACGGTACGGGTAAGTTATGTATAAAATATGTATGGACATTAAACATGTTATACATGTTTTATACGTCTTTAGTACGAGATCCATTAAATGAACGGAGAAAAATTAAGCAACTTGACAATAATACAGATACGGAAGTGTTAACAGAATAAATACGTATGAATACATATATTTACCAACTATGTTATAATAGTCATATTCATAAACATAATAATGGAAAAATATACCCCAAACCTACCTTAAGTAGCCAAGGTCCCCAAATATATAACTAAATAATAATCCCCACTGAAACGCCATATGGCGTTGATGAATCATGCGGGTCAGCTAAAGAAGAATGACAATAGTGTAAACTAAAAACCCTCTTATGCAACAGTACTAACATTCTAACTTTAATTAGTATTAAGATAGTAGATGGCCGATCCGATTACACGTAAATTGTTATCTTCATTATGTAACATTTTAGTATTGGAAGTGTAATTGTTGATCATATAGCTCATTTTTCAATCGTCACCATCCAAATGGTTTCCTAATATTCGTTCTCTCAATAATTATGTTCACATGTTCATAATAGTATCTCTTTGCATTGTTTTTTTATCATATAAGGGGTTGAGTTTAGGGACGGCAATCGAATCCGCAACTGTGGGTACCCGATCACTCCTGACTCTGTCAACATGGAGAATGTTCACATTGACTGGGTATGGGCAGGTATGGATAAAACTTGCAAAAAGTTTGATGGGAATGAGACGAGTATGGTTTTAGACTCAACTGCCATATACTCATACCCGCCGCACCAAGAATACTTCTTCATATATAAAAAAAGAGAGATCAAATTATAACCTGACAATGAAAAGACGGGTAATTAAAAAAAAAAGAGTTGCATGTAATTGAGTGGTCACCCAAATCAAAACCTTTATTTCTTTCCCCCGAGTTCTCCCTTCATACCTTCACTTCTTTTTCCCTTTTAATAAGATTATATATGTTAGGTATTTATAGCTCAATGAATATGTAAGAGCCGTAGATCAATGATTTGTTATTATTGTACATTTTCTTATGGATTAATGGATGTTTTAGGATTAGAAGCATTGCATTCATATTAAAATGGTTGAAGAGAGGGTATGGGTTTGAATATTTAAAAATGAAAATGGAATGATTTAGAAAAACCACCCCCAACCTCCCTCATTCTCATCCGTAGTCGAGTTCCTCTCTCCAAGTAGGTCAACCAAAACTTAGTGCCACATATAACCAAGCTGAACTCAAAACAAGGTATTAATTTCTTACCCGTCCAAAAAGAATTGTTTTTATTTTTGTTGGCTAAAACTTGATCGCATGTAATAAATAGCCAAATTTACCTGGTTCGTAGATCATGATCGTATTTACCTAGAGTCTCTCACAACCATTTACTCATGTGGTTAGGGATAAGTTCTATGGTGGTTCCAAAACGCAAATGTGGAGGTTGAGGTGCCACCGTAGTTGAATTTTCCCTTGGTTTTACAAAAACGAAAGTAAAATCAATGCGGAAAACTAAATCTAAACTAAGGACGAGTGGGAAAGCAGGAGGACGAGGTGTTACATAGGCAAGCTCTCCCTATAGTTTCTTTGACTCACAACCTCGATCCTGGCAGCATATGAGCTATTTTATCTTCATTAGGTTTATTCCTACCATATGGTGTGGTAAACATCAAGTCTAATAGGCAACTTTATTAGGACCCTACAGATGTCCCCTTTGAGAAAGTTAGCGAAGTTTGATTGATTGATGATCAATCGTAGGATACTCATGTCCAGTCTCATCTACCCACAAAGTCGCGTACGAGGATATAACCTTTGAACTAGTTCTCGTATTACGCACACAATCACATTAACAATAAAGCGAACGAAAGATTCAAACAGAAAGATAAAGAAATCAAATCATATATATGCCAAAATCGAATGTTAATTACATAATCAATCACCTCTAGGGTTCGCCAACCTACGCAACAAAGGGACCTAGCTAGTCATGGGGACAAGTTTCTGCGGGTACATAAGTTGAAACGAGTTCCTCATATATCCATTCACATCGGTGGACAAAAAAGAGAAAGCAGCGGTTAGGCCGTCATTTCTGTCGCCAATTTTCCCTTCGAAGTCAATTTCGCTCTAATTCCAAGTGAGTCACTCTGTTAGCAAAGTAATGACCATCTAATGCCTCGTACCACTAGCTAGCGGTCTTCTAACCCCTATGGATCTATTTATATACTTCTCGTTAGGATTTCTGGGGAGGAAAGTTGGTCTTCAACGCATCTCCCAAGAGGTCTCCACTAGTTTAGCCATCATGCAAAAAATATTTTGGAAGAATCGGGCGTATTCTGGATGACCCCTAAAATGGCGGCCAAGTCGCCGATTTAGCAATTGGGCAGCTATTTCCCACACCATTTTACGACTTTACTCCAATCTCGACTCTAACTCCTAACATTCGAATCG